ATTCAATGCTCGATATGGCTGTATATATTAATAATGATTTGAGTATTTTAAGGCACTGGTTTTCTATGCACAAACTGGTAATCAGCGACAAAACTAAAATAATGTACTTCAGTGTTGGTGGAATAGATCCTAAACTTAACAATCTTAAATTTCATAGCTCTGATTGTAAAAAACTAAAGATATCCAAAGACATATGTAAGGATACCAAGACCTCTCAAATGTTCAGTAACACCTCATCGTGCTCTAAAGGTTGCTTTATATGGACTGTGTTAAAAGTTTTAAATACCTAGGTTTAAATTTAGACTGGAGGCTGAATTGGGCTGATCATATAAGAAGCTTAGAGCGTTATTCTTTGCTTGTCACAAGACAAATGTATATGCCAAAAACCTTTTGTTCAAAGAAGCTATTAGCCTCAATCTATCATGCAATATTCCACTCTAAATTGCAATATGGAATACATTGTTGGGAGGGGCATATCAAAATAAAGCTTCCTCCTTATTGCAAGCCCAAAAGAACATTATCCGCATTATCTGTGGAAAAAAGAGAACTGACAGTAGTTTCATACTTTTTAAAAGTCTAAACATCCTACCGCTCCGGCATTTATATTTCTATAAGGTCTTAAAAACATTTTTTCTTTTCTAATGGCTTTTTATTTAACAGAAACTCTGTAAACTATAATTTGAGAGTTAACAATTTTAATTTGTCCTGGGTTCCACCGCATAACCTAACACATTTCTCACATTTTTATACCTCGGTTACTCCGAGGCTATATAACTGCTTACCAAACAATTTCAGGAATATTCGAAACTAGGGATAAATCGATACCTTCAAAGTATTACTCAAATCAGTACTTGTGCTTGTATCAAACAAGGTATCGATACCTACTCAGTATCGGAAATGTATTGAGTACTTGTACATAGAACTACGATTTTGCAGATTTTTATTATATATTAAGTTATTGAATTTGTTTCACAAAAAAATATGCATTTTTACAAGATAATTTATCTTCTTATATTTATTCATACAAAAACAATATTACAAGATTAATAGATAAAGTTGTTTCATATAAAATAAGTTTAAGAAAATAACTCCTTTTTTTGTCATATTACCCCAAAAAACTCAACTTTTCCAAGTGTTTTCCTGAAAGGCGGTTTCGAGATTTTGATATACGGGCATGTTCTGAAATTTGAAACTTTGAACTCGACTTGATTTGCCAAATATTTTTTAGTTATATCTGATGAAAAGAGTGAATATTATGATTGAAAACCGTAAAAGAAGTTAATGCGATACTTAGACCTGTACCTGTTTTTAGAAAAGCCTCTAGCAAGGGACAGATGACCCAACAACCGTTATGTAGTGCGCATATCTTCCGATTCCTCTAACGGGTTGCTTTTCAAAGAAGATGCTGAAGCATAGTAAATTTTGCGCTTAGACTGTGTTTATACACGGAAACTTTTGTCGACGCGATTTTTCACATTCCCTTTTGGTTCCCCTTTGGTTGTGTTGCAATTGTTGTTGTCAGCTGCGAACAGCGGTGCCATTTACACAGACGAACGAGAGCGCAACGCGTGTTGCCCGAGCACGAGCAACTCGGCAACAAAAATCACCGTGTGTAAATGAGCACTTACGATACAAGTACTTTTTTCGATACCTACTTGAATCGCAGTAAAAAGTATCGAGTAAAAAA